CCAATTAGTGAGGAAGCTAATGATGATGATCATGTAACTTCAAATCAAGTTACTACCGAACCTCGTAGGTAAACCAGAGTGATATCCGCACCAGAGTGGTACGGTAATCCTGTTTTGGAGGTTATGTTACTTGACCATGACGAACCTACGAACTATGAGGAAGTGATGATGAGCCCAGATTCCGCGAAATGGCTTGAGGCCATGAAATCTGAGATGAGATCCATGTATAAGAACAAAGTATGGACTTTGATTGACTTTCCCAAAGATCGGCGAGCCATTGAGATTAAATGGATCTTCAAGAGGAAGACGGACGCTGATAGTAGTGTTACTATCTACAAAGCTAGAATTGTCGCAAAAAGGTTTTCGACAAGTTCAAGGTGTTGACCACGATGAGAATTTCTCACTCGTATCTATGCTTAAGTCTGTCCGAATCATGTTAGCTATTGCCGCATTTTATGAAATCTGGCAAATGGATAAACAAAACTGCATTCCTTAATAGGATTTATTAAAGAAGAGTTGTATATGATGCAACCAGAAGGTTTTGTCAATCCTAAAGGTACTAACAAAATATGCAAGCTCCAGCGATCCATCTATGGACTGGTGCAAGCATCTCGGAGTTGGAATATACACTTTGATAAGTTGATCAAAGCATATAGTTTTATACAGACTTGCGGTGAAGCCTATATTTACAAGAAAGTGAGTGGGAGCACTACAGCATTTCTGATAAGTATATGTATGACATATTGTTGATCGGAGATGATGTAGAATTATTCTGCAAAGCATAAAGGAATGTTTGAAAGGAGTTTTTTCAAAGAAAGACCTCGGTGAAGCTGCTTACATATTGAGCATCAAGATCTGTAGAGATAGATCAAGACGCTTGATAAGTTTTTCAATGAGTACATACCTTGACAAGATTTTGAAGTAGTTCAAAATGGAACAGTCAAAGAAGGAGTTCTTGCCTGTGTTACAAGGTGTGAAGTTGAGTAAGACTCAAAACCCGACCACGGCAGAAGATAGAGAGAGAATGGAAGTCATTCCCTATGCCTCAGCCATAGGTTCTATAAAGTATGCCATGTTATGTACCAGACCTATTGTATACACTACCCCGAGTTTGGCAAAGGAGTACAATAGTGATCTAGGAGTAGATCACTGGACATTGGTCAAAATTATCCTTAGTGGAATAAGGATATGTTTCTCAATTATGAAAGTGACAAAAGGTTCGTCGTAAAGGGTTACGTCGATGCAAATTTTGATACTGATCTAGATGACTCTAAATCTCAATCTAGATACATATTGAAAGTGGGAGCAATTAGCTAGAGTAGCTCTGTGCAGAGCATTGTTGACATAGAAATTTGCAATATACTTACGGATTTGAATGTGGCAGACCCGTTGACTAAACTTCTCTCACAAGCAAAACATGATCACACCTCAGTACTCTTTGGGTGTTAATCACATAGCGATGTGAACTAGATTATTGACTCTAGTAAACCCTTTGGGTGTTGGTCACATGTCGATGTGAACTATGGGTGTTGATCACATGGTGATGTGAACCATTGGTATTAAATTACATGGTGATGTGAACTAGATTATTGACTCTAGTGCAAGTGGGAGACTGAAGGAAATATGCCCTAGAGGCAATAATAAAGTTATTATTTATTTCCTTATATCATGATAAATGTTTATTATTCATGCTAGAATTGTATTAACCGGAAACATAATACATGTGTGAATACATAGACAAATAGAGTGTCACTAGTATGCCTCTACTTGACTAGCTCGTTGATCAAAGATGGTTATGTTTCCTAACCATAGACATGAGTTGTCATTTGATTAACGGGATCACATCATTAGGAGAATGATGTGATTGACTTGACCCATTCCGTTAGCATAGCACTTGATCGTTTAGTTTGTTGCTATTGCTTTTTTCATGACTTATACATGTTCCTATGACTATGAGATTATGCAACTCCCGTTTACCAGAGGAACACTTTGTGTGCTACCAAACGTCACAACGTAACTAGGTGATTATAAAGGTGCTCTACAGGTGTCTCCGAAGATACTTGTTGGGTTGGCGTATTTCGAGATTAGGATTTGTCACTCCGATTGTCGGAGAGGTATCTCTGGGCCCTCTCGGTAATGCACATCACTTAAGCCTTGCAAGCATTGCAACTAATGAGTTAGTTGCGGGATGATGTATTATGGAATGAGTAAAGAGACTTGCCGGTAACGAGATTGAACTAGGTATTGAGATACCGACGATCGAATCTCGGGCAAGTAACATACCGATGACAAAGGGAACAACGTATGTTGTTATGCGGTCTGACCGATAAAGATCTTCGTAGAATATATGGGAGCCAATATGAGCATCCAGGTTCCGCTATTGGTTATTGACCGGAGACATGTCTCGGTCATGTCTACATAGTTCTCGAACCCGTAGGGTCCGCATGCTTAAAGTTTCGGTGATGATTGTATTATGAGTTTATGTGATTTGATGTACCGAAGGTAGTCCGGAGTCCCGGATGAGATCGGGGACATGACGAGGAGTCTCGAAATGGTTGAGACGTAAAAATCGATATATTGGACGACTATATTCGGACATCGGAAAGGTTCCGAGTGATTCGGGTATTTTCGGGGGTACCGGGGAGTTAGGGAAATACGAGGAAGAAGTAATGGGCCTCATGGGCCAAGTGGTGGAAGAGAGGAGGCAGGGCGCGCGGCCCCCCTAGCCCAAACCGAATTGGACTAGGGGGCTGGCCCCCTTTCCTCTTTTTCCTCCCTCTCCTTCCTTCTCCTTCTCCTCCTTCCTTTCCTCCTCCTAGTAGGAGTAGGAAAGGGGAGTCCTACTCCTACTAGGAGGAGGACTCCTCCTCCTGGTGCGCCCATAGAGGGCCGGCCGGCCTCCCTCCTTGCTCCTTTATATACAGGGGCAGGGGGGCACCTCTAGACACACAAGTTGATCAGTTGGTCTCTCCCAGCTGTGTGCGGTGCCCCCCTCCACCATATTCCACCTCGGTCATATCGTAGCGGTGCTTAGGCGAAGCCCTGCGTTGGTAGCAACATCATCACCGTCACCACGCCGTCGTGCTGACGGAACTCTTTCGTGAAGCTCTGCTGGATCGGAGTTCGCGGGACGTCATCGAGCTGAACGTGTGCTGAACTCGGAGGTGCCGTGCGTTCGGTACTTGGATCGGTCGGATCGTGAAGACGTACGACTACATCAACCGCGTTGTGCTAACGCTTCCGTTTTCGGTCTACGAGGGTACGTGGACAACACTCTCCCCTCTCGTTGTTATGCATCACCATGATCTTGTGTGTGCGTAGGAATTTTTTTTAAATTACTACGTTACCCTACACAAACAAAACTTTCCAATATATCAATCTTTATGTCTCGACCATTTCGAAACTCCTCGTCACGTCCGTGATCTCATCCGGGACTCCGAACAAACTTCGGTTCATCAAATCACATAACTCATAATACAAATTGTCATCGAACGTTAAGCGTGCGGACCCTACGGATTCGAGAACTATGTAGACATGACCGAGACACATCTCCGGTCAATAACCAATAGCGGAACCTGGATGCTCATATTGGCTCCTACATATTCTACGAAGATCTTTATCGATCAAACCGCATAACAACATACGGTGTTCCCTTTGTCATCGGTATGTTACTTGCCCGAGATTCGATCGTTGGTATCATCATACCTAGTTCAATCTCGTTACCGGCAAGTCTCTTTACTCGTTCTGTAATGCATCATCCCGTGGCTAACCCATTAGACACATTGCTTGCAAGGCTCATAGTGATGTGCATTACCGAGAGGGCCCAGAGATACCTCTCCGATACACAGAGTGACAAATCCTAATCTTGATCTATGCCAACTCAACAAACACCATTGGAGACACCTGTAGAGAATCTTTAGAATCACCCAGTTACGTTGTGACGTTTGATAGCACACAAGGTGTTCCTCTCTGTTTTTACTATAGAAGTTGGGCCTTAGATCCATTCTACTAATTTTGTCATTGTGTTCTCTTTGGTGGTTGGGCTACAAAGAAGCTATAGGTCTATAGTAAAAACAGAAATTTCGTATTCACGAAAACGGAGAGTTCCGTTTCCATGCATGTTCCACCGGAAAACACCATTCCGTTTTTGTTTCTGTTTCCGCATAAAAAATTCCATTTCCACTTCCATTTTGCAAATTTCCGTTTCTGTTTTCATATTTCCTCTCCATTTCCATTTTTTCGTCAGAAAAACGGAAAGTTTCCACTCCATTTTCATCCCTATAAGGAAATATAAATAACAACTTTATTATTGCCTGGGGCATGTTTCCTTTAGTAAGCATGTGAGACCAATTAAATACTTGTATACAGTATACCTTTTGTTAAAAGTAGGACAAAGGTATGTCTATCAATCATCATGGGTTTCATGTACTCCCTCTGTTCCGAATTACTTGTCGCAGGTATGGGTGTATCTAGATGTATTTTAGTTCTAGATACATCCATTTCTACGACGAGTAATTTGGAATGGAGGGAGTAGATGTCTAGAGTAGTTGGAGTGTTTTCCCTTTCAAACATTTCTGTTATTTCATTTATTTTAATTAATATTACAGCTTGTGTTCAGTCTAACATTGTAATCCTCACCCACATCAGAGCTTTGGTTGACAACATGGGAAAACAATATCAGAACGCACTGTATATACGTCTAACCCACTCAATCACTCATGCGTCAACCTTCCATATATATTTTTTTTTGAAAGGGCCTCCCATAAATACTTGGCTCGTATGTAAAGAGATCTCACAATGTGAAAGAGTGATAACTTATAAGCAATACTACAAGTGAAGGGAGCAGACAATCATGACATAAACTGTACATGCTGCACATGACAGTACATTATTTTTCGGCAAACCCCTGTATTATTTATTGGAAATGACGTGCAAGCCATTACTGAAACCCCAACAGCCATTGAGGGAAGTAACGAGGTGTTACCACCAACTCATGAACGCTAATTGGCCTGTGACTGATGCCTCCTGCAGAAAGACTTCACCCTGTCGAGCCCTTGCTTCAGTGTAGGTGGCTCCGAAGCAAAGGTGATACGCAACCAGTTCTCCATGCCCAAGGATTTCCCTGCAAATGGTGGTTAGAACTTAGGGCATCTCTCAAACAACATATGGAAAAGAATGGTGTGCTGAAAATATATCATCAGGGGTGTTTGCATCTCGACGTATGCAGCTATTCGTCTGTTCTGCTACTGCATACCAGGCAACAGTATAACCGACTCCTCCTTCGCCAACTTGCTGCAGAAGTCTACGTCGTCACGAATGTCCGACAATTGTGACACGTCCAGTTTTACCTGTAGAACATAGTGTTAGTCCACCTCCTTTCAACTTGCAACAATGTGAAGCTGCAAACATTGTTCTCTATATATGCCCTACCATCATAAAAAATGAGCCCTCTGGTTTGTGGGGACAGGTAATACACTTGATCTCGTCTATTGCATCATAACATATCTCTGCAGTCTCCTTCAACAGCTTGACAATGTTGTTATAGAATTCATCATTTGTGTTCTTGATAATATGAGGAATAGCTCCCTGTGCATGGACAAGAGAACTTAGAAGATGTGATGGTTTCAATCCTCTACAATAATGTCATGGGAACAATATGCACCCAAGTAACTACTGAAAATACATGAAAATTGTCGGACAGGAAACCATACTAATCTCCCGGCTTTAGATGTTAGGCTTTGGTGCGATGTCTGTTTGGTATTAGGCCCGGACATTCGGCACGCCTTCATCAAGGGGATAGGAGTAGCAACGGTGTTGCCAAGATGGTGGCTTCAGGCTTATTGATGTATCACCTTGTATGGTCTTTATGAATAATTAATAATATGGCTGCATGCATCATCCAGATGCAGAGGCCGGGGGTACATCCTCCTTTTCTAAAAAAAAAATGGTGCTCATTATTTAAGCAGCAGGTGATTTCCTTTCAGCACAAAAAAGGCACCGCATGTATGTGATTTGCATCGACCACATCAGTGACAAACCAGTGCAATTAATTGGTTTCTTAATCCATACGAAAGCGGGGGAAACACATCATTGCATTTAGAGGTATTTGAAATGAGTAGATTTCACATAACTAATCGTATTTCAGTGTAATTATCAGGAAACTACACATGTTAGTTTGGACTGTATTTCATCAAATTACACATATTTTAGCACAAGATTCTGATAAACTGCATTATTGTTGAATCCCATTAGTTGAAATGGAGTCTGGCATGTGAGACATACCTGTCAGTGTAACTGACATGTGCCAAATAATCCAAAATATGCAAAGTTTCGTGAAATATGCAGTTTATCGACAATAATGAAAAACAGAAAGTGCATTTAGCAAAAAATTATATCTAAACTTTAAAAAGGGAAGTGTGTTAAAGTAAGACATCCTTGGGACTTGATTCTTTTTTTGTTTGGTGGTTGCACTAGGAGCATATATGTGACCCAAAGTTTAATCTAGCGTATGCTATAATTAATTTCTAAATAAATAGTTTTTTTTTACTCTCCAAACTACACATTTCATCAAAACTATTAGAGAATGACACATTTGACAGGAAAACACAAACTGTGGCTGCTGGATGCTAAGTTCCACTTGTTAGATTCAGTCCAATAAAATAGGAACCAGTGCTTGTGTGGTTTACTGAAATGTTAATAGGAATTACATGCATTCTCATTGTGTATTGTGTGTAAACAAGAAGACTGTGCATCTAAATACCTATGCTAAAGTAGAGAAATAGGAACTTTCCAAGTTTGCTAACTATCCAACTACCTAGATATCGTATAAAGGTGATGAAATGACTGACATCACACGTTTGACTAACCTGAAGAAATGTTGCAGGACCTGATATTATACTTATGAAGCTTCTGAGTGAATCAGCAACCTAATAATAGACACATCAGAGAAATTTCAATTAAATATCAAAGAATCAATACAAGGTATTAATTAACTTGCATGAAATATATTGCCCACCTCTCTTCATACTTTCCGAGTAACCTGCTCAGGAGCATGAATTCAATATGGCATCAGAGTCAACAGTTTTGCAAGTTCAAGACCCGGCGAACGCACTCTTAATAAAAACATTAGCGGCCTAAATCAATCCCATGTCTAACGTCTGGAG